CTCAATTACTCAGTATTACTGTTCAACTAAAATTATCTAACATCTTTCATGGTTAAGCAACAAATCAATTAGACTTAGACTAATGTTCAATGTTGTATTATTAAGAAAGGGTAACCAAGAAAGAATTCATCCAGTTATGTTTTAACATCCAAATTAGTGTAAAAAAAAGAAGCAGGTAAAGGAAAAGTATAATGGCTATCTAAGTTGCATGCATTATCTATGAATACATCAATAAAATTAGGGCAAAAAATTCTAAAGTTATCATTATTTGACTAATAAAATATTATCTAAGTTATGCAGTATTTGTTGATTAATCTTATTTAATGTTTTACCTTTTTCCTCTAATCAAAAGTGTTAACTTAAATGGATCAAATTGAGTGAACTGTTCCACTAAAAAACAACACTTATATTGACTGTTCAATGTCAACTGTTTTCTTTCAGTTTGTGTTCGTTCAATCAGCAAATATTAATAATACTTTTTTTACTATTTACTATTTTTGCTTCATACTTTTGCAACAAATTATCAACCATTATTTAGTGAAGAAAATTTACTTTTCAGATAACAATTATTATTGTAGAAATATTCAACTTACAGTTTTTGTTTCATTACTAAAACTATATATTTTTTAATGACTTTTAATTATATTTTTAACTGCTTTTAATAGTATACTTTTTTTTTAGTTTTTAGAGCAATTATCATAGCAATTAATGCTCAGTGTTTAAAAAAGCTTAAAATTATGCTTTATCTCTTTTCTTTTGCACTGTAAAACTAAAAATACAAATTTTTTGTTGAAAAAAAAATGAAAAAATTTTTTAGCTTTTTTATTGATTCATTTGTACATAAGTTTTTTTTTTTTTTCAAGAAATTTATATCATTTAAAATTTGGTACTGTAATAATTGGATATTACATTCCGTTGTTGCAATCATCCGAACAGCAATATTCTTTCTGATCAAATAATAACAAAATGTCAACAAATATTATAAAATAATTTTAAATTTTTAATATTTGATCATTTTGGGAAAACAGTTTTTTTTCCTTTTTTTTTGCTTTATTTTTTTTCTAAAAATTATACATTAGTAATGTAATAAATATTGCTAAAAAAAGTTTTTTGTAGGATGACTAACAACGAGTACTGCAGTGATCTGAAGTTTTGTTGTTCGGTATCAATAATCTGTCTATCATTTTATAGCTGCAGCAAATTGGGGGTTGCAAAAAAACTGTTTAGAATTTGTTAAATTTACAAAAAAATAAGACACTATTAAAAAAGAAAAAAGATTGAAAATTATTTTATCAACTTCTTTTTTTTTGGCTTTTATTAAAAATTTTTTATCTTCAATTTTTATACGTTTCCCCTTTTCTGTTTGTTTTTTTGTTTCTTTGCTGCTGCTGTTAAATAAAAATGTTGGCAGATAAAAATCTTTACCACTTTTTTTTTCATTCTCAAAAATTTTTTTGCTTGTTTTTGCAATTTTTAATTTTCCTTTATTTAAATTTTCTATATCAATA